TGCAACTCTTTTCTTCGGTGTTGTAGGGAGTGTCCTCTTCATTGACTTTACAGCCCTGCTTTTCTCCATCTTATTCGAAAAAGTGTTTTTAATGTCATTTATAGTGTTTATAGTGGTAACTTTATTTTGAGTTTTCCTATATTTTCTTTTCCGTTCAATTTCATAAAGTCGTTTATCAGCTTTAAACTGCCTTTCTTTTTTTTTCTCTTGGCCGCGGAAGTTTCGGAATAACCACAATTGTGACATTTTTGTTTTAATGCATTCATTCTGTCTTTTTTCTTCATTTCGTAGTTTTGTTTACATCTTTCTCTGTTTTTCTGTGCCTTTTTCTCCTTCCACATTTCCAATCTCAAAGCAGACGTGCTTTTATTAACTGCAAATTAAGATCATTACCAAAAATTTATGATTGAGTTTTAAAAAATGGAACGCTTGTGTAAAAGAAGCCTCTTTAGTGCTAAAAGATAGAAACGCATAAAAGAAATGCCCTTACAATTGCGCACCCAAGTTTTACTCGTTTTAAAAACTTTGAAAGTTCTGCACCCAAGTTAAAATTTGCGGGTAAAATAAAACATGCAATCTGTTCCGCGTCGAGAGCAACACTTATTAATATACGGAATAACAAAAAGGATCCGAAAAATCAGTAACATATAGATAAATCAAATCGTAGCTTAAAAGGTCACTCTCTATATATAGTTGAACAATGCATGCATGCACCGACAATCGACTAAGTTGTGCGCTTGTTCTGTGTGTTTTTATGGCGCCGCGTTTTTTGTTGTTTTCACCATTCGAAACGACGTCAGGTTGCCGCCGTAATAAATTAAATGCGTGTGACATCTTTTTCACCATTTTTCAAACATTTTTTTTTTCGGAAAGTACGAATGCTATGGAGATCAATATAGATATTTTAAAAAGACTAGAAAAATAACATGTCTATATTAGAATTTCATTGTCGACAATCAAGTGCAAAACTAAACATAGTTAACTTTAATTATGACTCTACGAAACGTTTTTGCAAAAAATGAACGTGTGACATTTTATTCACCAAATTAAAAAATTTAGCATTTTTTTTTGTTTTTGTGTTTGAACGATTTTGCTTTTGAAATTAATTAATTACAGAAAAACAACATTATACTAGATATATCATTTTCTCACCTGATGACATCATTTATCCGTATTTTTGAACTTTTTTCGTTAAAGTAGTTTCGGAAACGGAGATGGGACACAAAGAAACTTTGCCGATTTGCCTGGCGATACAGAATATGATGTCATTAGCCGTCACTTAGCCGTCATACAAATACGTCATAATGGGTTGCCATTTAATGGCAATTCGTGACAAAAAAATAAAATAAAAATCGGCTAAAAAAGAAGGCGAAAAGAAGGTTTATACTTCAGTTTTCATCGTCAAATGTTACCCGGGACAACCCTTTATTTCTCCAAAATCCAGAATCAAATGCTTATCAACTCGAACAAATGCGTTTTATATTGTTTTAATGGAGATAAATGAACAAGGACATTTATATCCAGCACATTGATATCTTTGTTTTAATTAAAATACGTTTTTTTTCTGCACCTGCAGCGCAGTTTTACTCACGAAACATGCAAAAAACGTAAACGGTACGAACATCGCGCGTAACGTCTAACATATAGCGTCACAATTAAATAACGCCATAATTACGTCGTAGTCGCTGGCGCTAACGTTGGCAGAACCGGCATAGATTTGAACACTATTTATAATTTTTTCTTTTAATTGTATGATGTAAACCAAAAACAAATATTTAGCACGGGGCTCACAGATTTCAAATTTTTACAAACAAAAACACAGAAAACACTCTCCCTCTAAAAACAATTTGCCGATGGTTTAAAGAAAGATGTGCTGTACTGTCCGAATCCCGCGATGAATAAAGGCACGGCTGTTTTTAGCAGTGGATATTTTAGGAAAGGAGTTATAATTAATATTTTAGCATCTACGCCTGGCAAAGTATATGAAGTGAGAGATGAAATTACAGGATACCACTTTGACTTAAATCGTCATTAGTTAAAAAAAAATTGATTAACGCTCAAATAAGTATTATATGAAAAATTAAACTGTTCTTTAAAATTCTTTTCATAAAAAAACTGCTTTCTTGTTTGTCATTGCTTCGCATCACGGTGCGAAGCTATTAGTTTCAGTTGATATACACGCCATCTTAAAATAATTACTTATCACATATAGATTCTGATTGGTTGCTTTATGATGCGACTGAGATATAGCAACAGCTATTGGCCTAAATGAGATAAAGAATTACAGACTTTTCTCGTCTCAGGATAAGACATCAAATGCCGGAAAATTAACTATGTGTATTTCAGTTCCGAACAACTGTCATTTATTCATGTTCATTTTATTATGCATATATTGCACACTAAAATTCAATATTGAAATATCAATTATTAATACGTGTTTATTTGCTGTGTTAATCTGCAATATGCACGATTTGTTTTTTTCTTAACAAATGTTCCTATACAATGTTTACAAAAATGCATTATCTGTATTTTATAACTTCTGCCAATCTAGGCACACCTCCAGAAAGGCACAACTCCAGAGTCGTGTCTATTTGTAAATGTTTTAATTTTCAACAAGTAAAGTGAACAAAATTTTAAAAGCATAGGTGTATAACGCACACTCTTAAATTAGAACAACATCATTTTCCGGGGCGCATCATTTTAATCCTGAAGTCTGTATTATGGTATGGAATGTTTGTTTCAAAAATGTTTATAAACATGCTTCCGTTTTCATACATTTTCACTTGTTTAAGAAAAGGCGTCGGTCGTATATGTAGTGCTTTGTTTTCCATATGCACAAAATTTGCCATAGATTTGGAAACAACAAAAATCCGCCATACATTAGGAAATTACAAAACTTGCCATAGATTAGGATTGTAACAAATCTGCCATAGATTTGGGATGGCATGACGTCATATTTGCCATAGATTAGGGATCTGCCATAGATCTGGAACCCACCATAGATTTGAGTCCTACAAATATATCATTGCATGATTGTCAAAATAGTTTTAGCTTTTAAATTAGAGAGTATTGAAAAACATATGTAATTACAAGATATCGAACTTCACGATAAATTTTAATAGTGAAAGAAATTCTATAAAAACTGACGAACGCTCGACTATGTCAACCAACGGAATGACTGGAGGTTGCACTTCTGTAAATATAGACAATGCAATTTCCCATAGGAACTCCCTTTACGGCTAAAACTGTGCCACTGTTACTATGAGGTTTCGTAAAAAATTATATCATAGAATGGAAAGTTGATATGCACTACTATGTTATTCAAAGGTCAAAACATAGGGCTGTGCGGCATATTTTCAACATTTATATACCCCGAACTTCTAAGAGTAAACTTATACTAAAATTATGTACTATCCCTCCCTTCACTTTGGGTCTTCCTCAGAATTCAATTTCGCCGCTACCATGTGTATTTATACTGGTAACATTCCCAAGTTATTTCTCTGTGAGATAAAATATAAAGATCATATCTTGGAACCAGTACGTAAACAAAACAAAATATCTAGGAATATTATATATCTACCAAAAAAAAAACAGCTGTATTTACAAAGTGCAACTTGGACAATAACTTCATATTCCTGGATTTGTACGGCATTGTTCGAAGAAAACATTTGGGTTAAATCTGGTGCTATTATAGCTAGATAATGAAACCTATATTATAGATTAGTTTTCAACAGCGTAATTACGTATTTTTGGATTTAACATCACTAAGGGTCAAAACATTTAAAACGTTTGAGAGCATGCGAACAAAACCAACGGCCTGATTAATGACAACACAATACACGAAATAAAAACAAATATCACAGACAGCAAACAACGACAACCAGTGAATTACAGGCTCAACACTTATGACATGGACATATAATGTGGTGGGATTAAACCTTTTTAGGTGTTTTGGTGTACGCTCTTGAAAATATTACCGAGCATGCATTAGATTTTACGCCGAATTACTTCAAAGTGTAACTAATGCACCATAGAAATATTTTTGTGTATAATGCTTTTATTCATTTCACAGTTGCTACAGTGTAGAAGTTCTTCAATTATATACTGAAGTAGACGTATGTCAAGAGATGATTTATTGAACGGTATTCTTAATTCAGTAAAAAGTATTTTAAGCTTTTTTTACGATCGTAAAATAAATAGGTAAATAATATGTGGAAAAGTCAATCGAGAATAAGGAGTAAAAGATAGACAAACAACACAATGCTCATTTGCGTCCGCAAATGTAATCCCCCGCCGAATTCTGTTATATTTGTTTTTCGTTCATTGTTTTGTCATAAGTCAGGCCGTTATATTTCTAGGTTAAATAACTAGACGTTTTGTCAGGTCGTAGCTATTCATAGATTGATATGCGCTATGGGTTTCACTCATTGTTGAAGGCCGTACTGTGACCTTAAGTTGCTACAGTAACATATACGTCAGTTGGTCTCTGGTGGATAGTTGTCTCATTGGCAACCTTATTTTATTTAATTTTCCAATTTTTCAAGTTTCACGTTAATTTTACAATATCTTGATGGTAAACTATCTGAATCAAAACCTGTAACCTCATTCTGGACGGTCTACCAGACGGACGGACGCACATACCAGACACCACAGTGCCCCCTCTATTGTAGACGGGGCTTACCAATTAAACATATGGATATATAAACATGAAATAATGTATAAAGCTTTATATTGTTAGTGCCTTATCTGTAGTATTTTTATGGCTGGATATTGATTGTTTAATGAGTAAATATTAGAAATTTTGTAGATGTTTTATGCCAATCAATATATGTAACCTTAATGATTAAATATTTTGTGTATCATTATCATTATTATTTATACAAAAATAACATGTAGATTGTATTATCTATTCATTATTGTATAAGCTGTCACACATGTTGCAACGACAAAGTCATTACATTTTAAGATCGTGATTGGAAACAGATCATATTATTTTTTAGCATAATTACTCAAAAGACATGCATCTTTCATCACCGTTCAAAAATCAGACATTGAAATTATGGTTGTCGTTTGTTGCTGGTGTTCTTGCCAATGCGCTATTGGGACCATCGGAAATATTCTATATATATGCAAATGAGCTTCAAGTCATATTTAATATCAATAAGAAACAAGGTAAGTTCGTTATGTTTAACCCGAAACCAAAGAAATTGCAATTCAGTGGGGCGGAAGGACCCTTTTTCGACCTTTTTTTGCGGGTATTCGGGGATTTACAGTTATCGGCTCTGAGTAATTTTTCGGAATCTGTGAAAAAGTGCTTTAACATTTTTTTCGGGAATTAATGATTCATCGTTTTATTCGAATGACACCCACTCTTCGGATCCCTCCTCTTGCCCCCCTTTCCCCCAGTTCAGAAAAGCATATCTGCCTAGTTAGTTATCTTTATCGAAGACTGAATTACTTCCGATATTTTAAAATGATGTACTCAATAAGTGTCATGTACACATACAGTATATAGCAGGTAAATTTCCGTCGAAATCAGAATAAAACTTGACACTGTAACATTGTATTTATTAATATGTGTCACATAGATTTTTGAATTCTATTATTTTCCAAATACTTCATTTCTTTTTATATTGCAGTCATACAAGTTTAAATAGCGAAAATATCAAAGATATTCTAATATTATTGAATAGTTCAAATGAAATATAAAATTTAGCTTACGCAATTAACACCATGAGCTATCATTTAATCATAAATCAATGTTAGCATGGTTAGTTTAGATATGCCTCTAAACACTTACACATTTAACTAAATGCTAGAACACACCCGCGACATCGCGGGTCCTTGGCTGAATAAAGTACCTACGCCTTATTTTTAGCCCGGATGTTTAGTATTTGTATTGTCATTTGATAAAGTCATGCTGATTATAAGGTGCACAGTTTTCTCTGCTTTCAAAATATTTCTGTTTGAATCCGTCCTGCTTTTCTTACTACAACCGGAAACTACTTGTAGATATATTTTTTTGGTCAATGATTGAATTTAGTTGCATCAATCTCTGTATAATGACGAAGTTTGGGTGTGATTATGACCCGTGTATATAGCAAATCCCAAATACACTGTTTGGTGGTGCGCCTGATAGAGGCAGAACGTACAGATAAGGTAACAGGTACTATTGGTATCGGTATCGGATTCGACCCGGAACTTGTTAATTTCTGGTTATATGAATTATGTGGAAAACAAAAGGGCCTGGAATGGTGCAATTTTTTAATCAACACCGTTGCCCTATATTAGTTATATATAAAGTTGAATTCTTTGATTCGTCGTTTTAACGTCATGCCGGCTAACAATTTGAACCTAGTTATTTTAGTAGTATTGATGACGTTTTCAATACAATTATTAAAATGCAACCGGTTAAGCTTTAAGCTTTAAGGACTAACTTTTATTGTTTTTCTTATTTTATTAGTTGAAATGTTCGCGTCCATCCAGACTATAGGAAATGGAATTGGATTCGTGTTATGTACGTTTACAGATTCATTGAATCCCATATGTTTCTTGGTGGTTGGTTTCGTGTTTACTCTGATTGGGCCGACTGTATTATGGGTGGCGACATTAGATCAGCATATGACAAACAGTAACTGTTACTTCATTATGTTTGGATTTCTATGTAACGGTGAGTGTATGGGTTATCAATTAAGGACGATATTCAGTGTATATAAAGTGCGAATCCAGATAGTTCGTTTTCACTGTCATAAGCGAGTATTTCTATTGTAGAGCAAAGGATGACAGGAATAACTGCGTTTGTTTACGTTTTGAAAGTACAAAATAATTGATTTGAATGTATTTTTTTAACACAATTTCATTAGAATATGACTTTACAGTGTACAATAACATGATTAAAGTCCAAAAATATGTTAATAAAGTAACAGAATCTAGAATAAAGTTATTGAAAGCGATTCATTTTTACATTCGGACGTTGCGCGTTTTTAAGCGATAAAAAATAAACTGAGAGAAACCGATATATGATATTCAAAATATTCTGAGATATGTACACAGTTCGTATACAAAAATATATTATACAAGTTGTAAGTCATCAATATTTATTAAAGAATTCTAATTTTAACTCGAACTGTACTTGCTGAATGACAAAACGCACGTACATGTATGTTTACAAACATCGGTCACAAAAACTCGCTTAAAAATGCTTCAAAGATGCAAACATTAAATAACTTAAAAAAAAAAAAAAAACCTGATATATGTGCAGGTTAGTGAGCGTATCTTCCTCCAGAATAAATCCCACATACCTAGTTCATTGTAATTATTATGATTTTTTTTTAAATAGTCATCAGTTTATGAAATTGTTTATACTGTACAGTTTGTTACGCGTTATCGAAACAGTACTGTATCCTTCGTTGCTTAAAATATCGAGAAGAACATAGGATGTCTCCTTTGAAATACCAATCTTTTATTTTTTGTAACGACTTTACTAATTGACATTTCTAAGATTTCATATTGAAAATTAAAACACCTGAATTGTGTGTATGTTTAATATGGGATCAAGAGGAGCCCATTCATCCGAAGCACCTGATTGCAATTTAATTTCTGAGATTTCGTGAAAATATGTAGTATTTTGATCCTGAAGTCAAGGTCACAAGAAGGTCATGATGATATGCAACACATCGTCCTGAGTTTGCTATTAGCATGATTAGTTTGTCAGGAATTCGAAAATATTCGGGAATAGAAAATCCATGAGTAAAACGTATTTTTATCGCGAATTATCCTTGAAAAGTTTTATAACTTGATTAAAAAAGCTTTGAAAGTTGCCAAGCAGTGTCATTATGTTTTATACATATTTTTATCATGTTGATCGGATTTTTAGTTGTCAAAATGCAGTACAGGAATTATCAATGAACGGTACTAAACAAAACGCTATAAAGACAATGAAACATAACGAGATTCGGAATTTGGTCTTTACACATGTATACATGAAATAAACTGGTTTCTCATTAGTTGGGACTATTTTAAATAGAAGTGCGTATGAATTACTTGTACACATCGCGAAACAGATTCTGTGTAACACCAACTTGATTAGACTATGAATAAAAGCATGGTATGTTGACTCGAAAACTAAATGTGACCGTGCGTTTACTGATTTTTGTTGTTCAAATGGGCGTTCATATATTATGAACAATGCTGTCAGGAAGCAGTAAACTATGCTTCCCTAAACATGTTATACTAACTGTTACGGCCATAAGTCTGAAAATAAAATAAAAAATATTTGGACGTTCTATCTACCCTGCAACTTCACTTCGCTTCACAGCAACGTCCGAAATCAACTGTACGAAGGATATATATTTGTACCAGTGATATAGAACCATTAAAACTTATAACAATAAACTGTACTCAATATGTCATTGTAATTTCAAAATTGCGTATAATTCTTTTTATGTCCAAGATATACGCACTGATGAGGTTGCATCGGCACGTCATGTATATCACCTAAGATTTAAATACAAACTGAAAACGTATCCAGTCACTCAAGCTTAAAACGTAGGTCGTTGTGTATAAATGCTCTTTATTTTCCCAGATGCATTCATTAATGACGTTTCATTAGTATGTGATGTATAGTACCCTAGATAAAGACCGAAACCCAAAACTTAAGCATAGTTTTCGGTGGCCGTTAATGTGCTTAACTGTGTAAGATATATGTATTCAATTAGCAAAATAAAAAATAGTGTGTATGAATTTGCGATCATCATTCGTAAACAGTTATAGATTCATTTGGGTCATACGGCTCATCACCACTGACTTAGTTATAGATTCAATTGGGTCATACGGCTCATCAACACTGACTTAGTTATAGATTCAATTGGGTAATACGGCTCATCAACACTGACTTAGTTTTAGATTCAATTGGGTCATACGGCTCATCAACAATGACTTAGTTATAGATTCAATTGGGTCATACGGCTCATCAACGCTGACTTAGTTATAGATTCAATTGGGTCATACGGCTCATCAACAGCGACTTAGTTATAGATTCAGTGGGGTCATACGGCTCATCAACACTGACTTAGTTATAGATTCAATTGGGTCATACGGCTCATCAACACTGACTTAGTTATAAATTTAATTGGGTCATACGGCTCATCAACACTGACTTAGTTATAGATTCAATTGGGTCATATGGCTTATCAACAGTGACTTAGTTATAGTTTCAATTGGGTCATAAGGCTCATCAACACTGACTTAGTTATAGATTCAATTAGGTCATACGGCTGATCAACACTGACTTAGTTATAGATTTATTTGGGTCATACGGCTCATCAATACTGACTTAGTTATAGATTCAATTGGGTCATACGACTCATCAACACTGACTTAGTTATAGATTTAATTGGGTCATACGACTCATCAACACTGACTTAGTTATAGATTCAATTAGGTCATACGGCTCATTAACACTGACTTAGTTATAAATTCAATTGGGTCATAAGGCTCATCAACACTGACTTAGTTATAGATTCAATTGGGTCATACGGCTCATCAACACTGACTTAGTTATAGATTCAATTGGGTCATACGACTCATCAACACTGACTTAGTTATAGATTCAATTTGGTCATAAGGCTTATCAATACTGACTTAGTTATAGATTCAATTGGGTCATACGGCTCATCAACACTGACTTAGTTATAGATTCAATTGGGTCATACGGCTCATTAACACTGACTTCCAAATATTTTAGTTTGAGCGTTCCCCGTGAAGGTAAATCCAGGATTGGTGTTCATTATAGAATAATGAAATGTGGTATGATTGCCATTGAGACAACTATCCACCAGAGACCAAATGACGTAGCTATTAGCAACTGTAGGTCGCCCTACGACCTTCAATAATGATCAAAACTCATCACGCATATCAAGATAAAAAAGGCTCCGACGTGACAAAATGCACTTCAATTCAAACGAGAAACTGACGGCCTGATTTATGTGTAAAACATGAAACGAAAAGCAAATATGATATGCAGTAACAAACGACAACCACTGCATAACAGGTTTGATTTGGGACAGGCACATACATAATGAGGCAGGATTAACATGTTAGTGGAAGCCTAACCTTCTTCATACCTGGGACAGCAGGGTAACAGCAAAACACAACACAAAAACAAATTGTACAAAACAATAAAATACAAAAAAAAATAAAAACCCTCTTCAAACCCGGGACAGCAGGGTAACAACAAACCACAACACACGAACAAATTGTACAAAACAATAAAATAAGAACAAATATCATGCACAGCAACAAGCGCCAACCACTCATGTACAGGCTCCTGACTTGGGACAGGCACTTATATAATATGGCGGGGTTAATCATGTTTTCGGGCGCCATAATTTTGAATTTTTAAAATCAGATCTGTATTTCTTTATTTGTTTTAGGATTAAGTGATTCTATTCAGATTATTATATCACAGAAGATAGTTGCAAAGAATTTTTCTTCGTCAAACAGAGGAATAATTATGGCAATAATGGGAGAGAGTATCAGTATTGGAATGCTGCTGTTTTCTGTTGTTTATTATAGTATTCCGTCAAAGAATCACAGATTTCAACAACTCATGATATTTCTATTCTTCTTTAGTGTATTTGTGTATATATTCTGTTTTGTGTTTCTTCGAGAAGTACCTTCTGAAACAGATTATACGAATATATTGCCTGAAGATGATACTTATGATCCAAATTTGATGAGTGTAGAAGTGCATCCCACAGACGTTATACTTAAAAAGACATTTCTGCAAATTATCAAAGACCCAAACTATCAATTGTTAGCCTGGTTGTCAACGCTAGCATTTGCCACAGGTTCGGTGTTGCAAACCAACTTAACTGTGTTGACTCAAGTTTCCGGGTTGAGTAGACTTGATTCTTACATCTTTATTTATGTTCCAGTATTTTCATCAATTGGGGGTATTGTAGTTGGATTTTTGTCTGATAAATTACGTCACCCTTTGACAAGAATCCCCTTTCTTTTTATTTCATGTATGTTACAAACACTATGTTCTTTCATTAATATGTTTTTTGTTCAAAAAACGGCTTTTATTGTTTTATCTGTAGTTTTAACGGGAACGTCAATGGGTTCTTCGTATGCTTTAGTTAGCTGTGTGGTGAGTGAAATGTTCCACATTGACAACTATAACAGAAATTACGGCATGATCAAAGGAGCCCACGCCGTTATCGCCCTTCTCTTACAATATCTTTTCGGATTATTTTATGATGACAATGTCAGTGATTCGAAATTGTTTTGCAGAGGTTTGCATTGTACTGAAATGGGATACACGATGAATACTATCATAAGTTTAATCCCTATTTTATTCTGTGTATGTTTATTAAAAAGGACCGCATTAAAAATTACCAAATAGAAGTCGTGTGTTTTGAATTTTTCTTATGAATTACGACAAATTTAAAAGCTAACACTTTGACGGATTCATTAAACACCTGACCAATCGACTGATTTATTAAGCGCCTGACCAATCGACTGATTTATTAAACACCTGACCAATCGACTGATTTATTAAACACCTGACCAATCGACTGATTTATTAAACACCTGACAAATCGACTAATTTATTAAACGCCTGACCAA